CACACACACACACACACACACACACACACACACATATATATATATATATATATATATACACACACACACACACAAACAAAAAAGTTACTTGACAATTTAGAGCTTAGAACTCAAACTTTCTGAGCATTTTTATTTTCTGGCTCAACAGAAAAATTTCAAGAAATTCCATTTGAAATTTTTTAAATGCCAAACACTCAAATCTTACATCATAACTAGTTCTCTTATTTTCTGATAGTTTTGTTTCATCAATATAAATGTTCTTTATAATCATACAGCAGACAAAACTTCTGTTAATACATGTATAGTTAATGCCCAAATTTTAGTTCACAGTGTAAAATGTGAATTATGACTTTTTGCACATGAACTTAATAGAGGTTTTTACAGAAGATATTACTACAGTTAAACAAGCTATAGCATGATAATCTATTTCAATGTATATAAACATACTTCGCGTTGTAACTAAATCAAGGCTACTTTATAACATATAAGATGTGAATTATGACTCTTTGCACATGAACTTAATAGAGGTTTTTACAGAAGATATTACTACAGTTAAACAAGCTATAGCATGATAATCTATTTCAATGTATATAAACATACTTCGCGTTGTAACTAAATCAAGGCTACTTTATAACATATAAGATCGCATAGTAACAGCTGATAAAGAGATAAGTTATTGAAGCCCAAATGCATAGGTTGCATATTTTAGTAACTCGTTTATATTACTGTAGAATATTCTGGAACAATGTTTTTTTTTAAGTTACTCAAATCAATTTACTTTAATTGTTTGGTTCTTGTTACTTACAATGTTAAACAATTGGATATATGTGCTGTGTCCACAACAGGTATTGAAACCCAATTTTGGGGGTTATAAGCCCTCAGACTTTTCACTAAACAACCAAAAGGCCCTTCATTCATAGGGTGACCAGAAGTCCCAGTTTTTTTTATAAGTTTGTTCCGGTGTCCAAAAAAAGGTTCTTAGCAAGCAAAAAAACATTCCAGTTTTATGATAAAGACATCAAACTGCGAGTCACTTCAAGTCACAAATATAATAGGCATACTTGACTTGCTCGTTGTTATAACGTGTACTCTTCTGCCACCAAACTGTCTCAAATGTTTCATCTGTGCAACGTGAGAAAACCAAGACTGTGTAGGTTTTTTAATTATTAGTAATATACTAGATCTATAGCAGTTGGTGTATGTGTGGTGGATGGTTAAACATCAGGGACTTTTCTTTAACATATTTTTTTGATTATAGTGTCAAAATGCCAAAAAGAAATGTTTTTTCTGAGACTTTGAAAACGGACTTCCTTTTCGTTTTTTTATAGACAAGTGAGTTGAACAACAAAGTTGAGTGAACTATTTGCAAAGATGTGTTTTTGATAGTGGCAGATTGGACATTAAGAATCACACTTCCAAGAAAAAGTACACGGATCATTCTGAAACTAGGGGCAAGGGCTGAGCTGCCCCCGTTTTGTTTTTCAGTTTGAAAATCTGGTCACCCTATGCATTCATGACCTTCAGTACATTCATCTAGGATCTTAGTTCATTAATCCATTGGATCTAATATTAGCTTTAAAAAACTATTCAAAACAAAGTTTGGTCTCATGAAAAACTTCTTTATCAGAAACAGTTTTTACCCTACCAGTCTATCCGGGGTGTTAATCATACTATCAGGAGAAATACTAAACCTTCACACACACCTGTTCATCAAATATAATGGTTAAGAAAAAATGTATGTTGATAATTTTATAAATTTTAATTCTACTTGTATAATTTACAGACAAAATTCTATAAAAGTTCACAAATTTGCATAAACATACGTATAAAACAAAAAATAGTACACTGGAAATAAATATATCACACAGGTTTATAATCAGTACAATACACTCTCCTCTCTGCCATAGAAAAAACTGTTAGCATAAAAATTAAATTTATCTGTAAAGAATGCCCTCTTCCAACTTTGCTCATCTCATTGTTTGAAGCCTGATGCCCATTTCCATCTTTTGGTTTAGTTATCTCTTCTAAGTAGTAGTTTTTAAGCAGCTTCATCTCCACTGAAGTCACTTTGTGTTAATGTGCATTTTTATTGTTTGAAAGGTAGCACTTAGACCTGTGCTTACAATTAGGTCATTGATAAGATTCTACTGATTTTACTTGTGTTGTTTACATTATATTTCCCAAGTTACTTAACATTTCTGATGAGTTGTGGCTTTCTACCTCAGCCAATTCTATTATCAACAGTACTAGATTCATTTACTCTTACTTAACATTTCTGATGAGTTGTGGCTTCCCACCTCAGCCAATTCTATTATCAACAGTATTAGATTCATTTACTCTTACTTAACATTTCTGATGAGTTGTGGCTTTCTACCTCAGCCAATTCTATTATCAACAGTATTAGATTCATTTACTCTTACTTAACATTTCTGATGAGTTGTGGCTTTCTACCTCAGCCAATTCTATTATCAACAGTATTAGATTCATTTACTCTTACTTAACATTTCTGATGAGTTGTGGCTTTCTACCTCAGCCAATTCTATTATCAACAGTACTAGATTCATTTACTCTTACTTAACATTTCTGATGAGTTGTGGCTTCCCACCTCAGCCAATTCTATTATCAACAGTAGTAGATTCATTTACTCTCTTCACAGTTTCCAAAAAGTTTCTACTAAAACATGGAAATTCTGCCTCAATCTATTGCATGGAATAACATTTCCCAGCCAAAGCTTTCTACATGTTTATAATGTGGCAATTCTATCTTGGGACTCATGAGTGCATTCTTCACACTACTGATGGGAATAGTACGAGTGTCTATACTCTTATAGGCATTTTGCTGATGTGGAACTATCTGATTGGTTTGATGATGCTCAATCACATTGTAAGCTATTCATTTGTGACTGAATTCTGGTTCAGTTCTCTCACACTATAAACAAGGATTAATCCCTTAACATTTTTTATTTTATTCACTGTTCTCATAATTACTTCCAACAGACAAACAAAAGTAATATTGTATGAGCCTGTGCTGTAATGTGGAACATGTAAAATGTTTCTAATTACACCAAACTTCTACAGTCACACGTACCTGTGCAAAATATTTTGGATGCACATCTTTGTTATAATATCCTCAGAAGTAGATAAAAGACACAATATCCTACAACAGAAGTAGATAAGAGACACAATATCCTA